ACAGCTAGAGATCAACAAGCTAATTTTTCCTATATGTATCTTTTAAAGAATTAATGATATATTATATAACAGTGTTATTATCACTAAAAACATCAGGTGTAGTATAAAATTCTCCAATTGGTTTATTAATTCGTATATAACACATACCTAAATATTGTCTTCTTCAGTAAATGTGTACTATAAATTCCAATTAAAATAAACCAGAAAACGTTCCAAATGGACAGTTCATGCCATTCGAACAACTTCAGTGAATACTAGTTTATTACTATAAAGCTGCCCCCCCCCCAATGGCACAGCGGCATGTCTGCGGACTGAAAACGCTAGAATCCGGGTTTCGATACCCGTAGTGGGCAGAGCACAGATATCCCATTGTGTAGCTTTGTGCTTAATTACAAACAAACAATACTGTAAAGCTAAAAAAGTGATTTAGTGGTGTTGTATAAAACGTATAGGTGGAGCTTGTGTTAGTTCCAAAAAATATTTCAATACTTGTGAACACGCAGAGAAGTTGTTATTCACGGGAATAGTTTCAGATTTCCTAGAACAAAGGAAACCAAACTGTTCACAAGATGATTGATCTTTGGGAACTTAGTATAGCTGTGAATCATGAAGACCTGATAAAATCGACATATTTTGTCTTCTTTTTTTTCTCACTTCTTACAAATTCATGGTCGAGTTTCCTTTAAATAGTATCGCTTTCAACGACTCTTGTCATCCAATAAGAAGGCATATTGTGATTACAAAAGCACATTTTAGTATTTGTTGAATCGAAAAACAAAAACTGGAAAATTTATTGCGTTTGATGCTAAAGAAGTGTAGTTCTGATCTCGTAAATCTAACCAAGTAATGATGAGAACAAAATCTACCGAGAAGGGCATGATTTGGTTGTAAATCGTATTATGAAAAATGGTGGAAAATACCCACAAGTTATTAATATAAATTATTTATAGATTTAATAGTTATATTTATTTTTTTATGTAAATAAATTATGAATACAATAAATGTCGGAGTTTATAAATAAAATGGTTACGGATTTTTCACAGCTAAACAACAGGTTATTTATGATTTTTAACTTTAAAAGTCGTCATGCTCATTTTGGGGAGGAGCAAATGGAAAATTTCAGAGCAAACCAGTACAAACCTTAATAAACTTAAATAGGCCTAGCTATCAGTTTCATTCTTTCAAGGGTGATGCTTTAGCTAAAACATTTGCATTAAATATCGTTAATTCTGGTGTCTTAGATATTAATGTATATATTTTAAATAACGATAAATTGTTTGCTCATTTTATAGACTTTTAAGTCTCATAATTTTATAAGTTAGTTGTTTACCTTTGTTCTGTTAAATCTTATAACTTTTGTGAGTTAGTAGTTTTGTTAAAACTCGTACCTTTTATAAGTTGGTTGGTTTCCTTTCTTCTGTTAAGACTCATAACTGTTTGGTTTTCTGTTTCATTAAGACTTATAACCACGTGAGGTAGTCGGTTACCTTTGTTTTATTTACTCTATCATGCCCGGATGAGTAAATACTGCTCCAAAAAAAAATGCACCTTTGAATTACAGCAATTATAAAAGATAAAATTAGCAGTCGTTCTTTCACACATGTTGACCCTGTTACTTGAATACAAGTGTAGCTGTATCAGTTGTTAGCTTATCATTGTTATTTAACTGTACATGCCAACATGGTTTCTAGTGCAGTGGACAGTTGCATAACCCTAGTTTGGCAGTATTTATTATAAGAAAATGTATCTAAACAACATCTTCCACAATTACGGTCCTGATTATTTTTTCAAGCTTGCGAAAAAGCTTAATTTATCATTTTATACTTCATTTAAATTATGATGTTTAATATGATAGAAAAATAAACTGACATTACTGCTTACTTGGTTTACTAGACTGTCAGATGTTAAAATTTATACACAAATTAATAAATGTGTCAACTCAGCCATTTCCTGACACAATTATTACAAGTCTCACAGAATATACAACTGTAACTTACACTTTTTTGGAGCATACTTGACTGCTGATTATAAGGTCAAAGCCATGATATGCAACCAAAAATGGTTGTATTTTCAGCTGTGGGGACTTTGTAACTGTGATAGTTAATCCTGCTTTCAGTTGGAACAGTCACAGAGGATTGATAACCTGAGTGTCTAACCCATGTGTTTTCAGCTGTGGGGACTTTATAACTGTGATAGTTAATCCTGCTTTCAGTTGGAACAGTCACAGATAACCTGAGTGTCTAACCCATGTGTTTCATACAGGTTGAAAATAACAAACACCTACACACTGTTCAAAATAGAAATTAATAAAAACCCTATAACCTGAGCACTTTCGAAAGGTGGACCTTTCTTCTTTAGGGGCAAACTGGAAATGGTGGTGTAATCGAATGAGTGATATATATATATAAAGGGAGTTTAGTGATGTCATGAAGATCATCTGGATTTCCAGGAAATGTTTAGTCTATTTCTCTATGTACTGCTGTAAGCGTCTCATTTCCGGTACAGTGTAGCTGATGGTGAGAGTGTATGTGAAAAGGTGTTAGGGATATTTTACTTTAGAAATGGATAAATATATGTATATTTAAAACTATATTTAAGTGCTTAAGTAAAATAAAGGTGACACCTAGAGACTGACTGAAAATTATATGTTATGCTAATCAATTTATAAAAACAGGTATGGAAAATTATCTTAAATAAATAGTAAGTTTTAGGAAATTCAGCATTCACATTACATGAAAAAAATAAGCAAAGAATAAAAATTATTTTTCTGACAGAGATGAAACCAATGAATGGAGATCACCGATTCCAGGATCTAGATTAATTCTGAAAGGTTGAACAGTGTTTAGATTAGCAATCCAATAAGCTTCTTTTATCGTAATCAAACTCTTTTATCTTCTTGACGTTGGCCATTCAGCAATATTTTCACAAGATTAGGCTTCTTTGTCAAACATTCATGTCAGTCTTCTTGTGAAACTTTTCATAAACTGGATAACGTCTTAGGTCTACAACTACCATCAAATTTCTGACTTGATTTTTTGATGTTCATCATGTTTGTAGTCCACATCTTGCATCATGTTATTTGTTATAACACTTAGTGTACAGAAATGATAAAAACATTGGGTGAAATAGCTGATTTTCTACGTAAAATACACCCTGGTAATTAGTGAGATAAACTGGTAGTTATAAAAACAAGTTGTACCTTATGTTATTAGAGACTTTGTAACCAACAAAGTCACGAACAATTTGTCACGTAAATAGTTTAAGTATTTACAACCAAAAGTCCATCAAGGGACTAGATGAGTAGGTGGTTTAAGGGAGCTGTTGTGAGCCAATCTTGGCTCGTGAAAACAGTCCTGGTGAATTGCAACAGTGTGGGGAACAGACAACAAGACATCTTTCTTACAGTATAAAAGTTGATTTTGACTTTCAATGGCTATAACGTTTCTATTTAGCTAACCCTATAATCACATATAAACCAATGATATCATGTTTGATGGTGTTTCTTGTTTTTTCCCTAGTCACTACAAAAATACATCTAAAACATGTAATATGTTCTCTTACAGCTTTCTTTAGTTGGTAATACCTCACAGATCTGATCTGTGTTGGTAGCTTGCTTTCATCAGATGTTAAACTTACACCCATTACTTTGTAACTCAGTTACTCATATTATGGAACATCCATGTATAGTAACAAACAGTGAGGACCTAATCATCCTATGTAATAATGTTTGAAGAAGAAAAACGTATTTTTTAATATAGATCATTCTCCTCAATACCATTTACAGCTATCTGACCCTTCAATATCCCTTATGGCTATCTGACCCTTCAATACCCCTTATGGCTATCTGACCCTACAATACCCCTTATGGCTATCTGACCCTTCAATACCCCTTATGGCTATCTGAACCTACAATACCCCTTATGGCTATCTGACCCTTCAATACCCCTTATGGCTATCTGACCCTACAATACCCCTTATGGCTATCTGACCCTTCAATAACCCTTATGGCTAACTGACCCTTCCATTTCAATATTTTTTTTTTTTTACAAAATAAGACAAATGTTAAATAAAATGTATTTTTGAATTACTACAAGTGATCATCATGTAGAAATCCTGTTTTACAGTCCTAGAAATACTTTACACACACAGTTAATTATAACATTTAGCAAAGTTCACAATATTTCTATTCTGATACTTTAAAAGAGCATCCTAATTTTATTTCACAAATTACATTTTTCAACTTCCTCTATGTTATTAGAATTTGCCAAAGTGTTAACATATTTTCCTCTTTGCCTAACTAATTAATATTTATGTTTTAAAATAATGTTTTTTCATAAAGCATTGAAAAACACAGATTTTAAATAAGGATCTTCTGAAGGACTGTCCAACTTTCTTCGAAAAGTAAATACCATCAGGTCTTCTAGAGGTCCTCCCAAAACAAGTAAGGACTTTGTAGGGATCAGAGAATGCAGAAGAAGTTCCTGTCATAGTGGTATACTAAACTGAAACTTCTCAGTTCGTTATAAGTTGACACTTAATTATAAATTAAAAGTTCTAACATCTGCAGCACACAAGCTACGAGTTAGTTCTGGTAATGCTGCATATCAATTGTGTTCAGACTTCTGTTCCTAGGACATGACAAAACTTAATTCTACCCTTTCTAACACTCCCAACTTATTATACTAACAGTTGGTGTGAACAGTTGAGAAACAAGGTTATATATAGAGTACATCTTACCACTGAGTGTAGTATCTTGTATGTTATCACACTAACAGTTGGTGTGAACAGTTGAGAAACAAGGTTATATATAGAGTACATCTTACCACTGAGTGTAGTATCTTGTATGTTATCAGGTTAACAGTTGGTGTGAACAGATGAGAAACAAAGTTATAGAGTATGTATTATCACTGAGTATTGTAAGCTTTCTAAAGATCCTACCCATAGTCCTGAGAAAACAGTTTATAAACAGACACTTCTTCGTTAATAGTTATACTTCCTGCTTGTTTGTATAAATGTTTATTACATATATATTCAACATTTTCACACATCTCATGCTTAATGAACAGGTTCTTCTGGTTCTCAATTTAAAAACATGCACACATACATCTCATAAATCATTGCCTTTGTTCCATTATACTCACTACTTCTAAATGAAACAACCTTCTTGTGATTTTCCAAAAACTGTAATTAATAGAAAATAATTACAACAACAACTTATAAAAGAGAAAAAATCTGTCAAGTGAATGCTAAACAATGAATTAGAATCTTAAATGTGAAAGACAATATCCACATCCAAAACAATGTATTGAAATTGTTTCTGGAGAAAGATACGCTATAGTTATATAAATCCAAGAAGTTATTAACTACGTATTCTGTATAAATTTCTGAACATTTCTCTTATGGTTGAATGTTAGAAAAAAAAAGGATCATTGTAGTTCTGTTGTGTGTGAAACAAAGAATGAAGTCCCATTATCTGAGTCCCTATTTTTCTCTACCTCTTCCACGACCAGTAGTCTTCCCTCTTCCTTTGCCTTTTGAAGTGGATGGCTTATCTTCCTTTGTACCCTGTTTATTATGTTTCTTAACCTGTAGAAATTTCACATTATCACCATTTAGCAAGACTAGGTTGTGACAGAATAACCTCTCACAAAAGAACAATAAATACACTTATTAACACAGGCAAACTACACAAAGAATACTCTGTGCTTAAAATAAGTAAAATATTATACAAGATATTGAACTTACTTTAACCATAGCATCAGAGGTGACATCATCGTCATTATCTTCACTTTCTCCTTCATCCTTCACCATTTGATCATCGTTTTCTTCAGTCAGAAGATCAGAGTCCATCTTCACTGCTCCCCTTTTGGATTTCTTTGTTTGAGTGACAGCGTAAGGTGTTTTTATACCTTCTTTATTGTATGTTCGGGTAAAGGCGGCTTTCACCTGTTGTCACAGGATAATATTAAGTACTTCAAAATATTAACCTCTGGTTTTAAACTACAACTAAAGCTCAGTTCACAAGTTTTTTCTGAAAACACTGACCAATATCACAATAAAAAGTTCTTTGTGTCCACACAATAAGCTACTGCCTGAGTTCCTGAGGAACTAGTCTACATTCTAGCCACTGCCGAGTTCCTGAGGAACTAGTCTACATTCTAGCCACTGCCTGAGTTCCTGGGGAACTAGTCTACATTCTAGCTACTGCCTGAGTTCCTGGGGAACTAGTCTACATTCTAGCTACTGCCCGAGTTCCTGAGGAACTAGTCTACAATCTAGCCACTGCCAGAGTTCCTGGGGAACTAGTCTACATTCCAGTCACTGCCAGAGTTCCTGGGGAACTAGTCTACACTCCAGCCACTGCCTAAGTTCCTGGGGAACTAATGTACATTCTAGCCACAGCTGACAGTCTGTGGGGATCTAATCTACAATCTAGCCACTGCCCGAGTTCTTGGAGAACTAGTCTACATTACAGTCACTGCAGACAGTTTCAAGAGAAATAAAACCCTAACATCAATTTCTAGAATGAGTTTAGGTCCTAACAAAGCTGGTGAAAATGGTTCAAATCCAGTTCCTTTATTTTCCTGCACATAGTTAACAGAAGTATTGCCAATGAACGAACTTAATTATTAATGTGCTTAGCCATACTTAAAGCCAGAAGCAGCACAATGTAAAAGGGGTTTTTGTCATTTGGAGCACATTTTCATAACACAAGAGATGAGATCACCATGACAGTATTTTCAGAAAAAGTTTCAGTTTGTGCTGTCCACAAGTAATGTACTCACATTATATTGTAATAAATAAATCCAACAGTTGGCTATTTGTATGTACAAACTTACCTTTGGGCTAACTTTAGACATGGGATCTTTCTGCCCTGACCAAGTTGAGAGCTCCATAACGTTTTCAACATCTTCTTTTAACAAACAATAAAACTCAAGAACATTCAGCACTTCTCGTACTCCCTCTGTTTCCTTCTCAATTAATGGACGAGTTAAAGAATCTTTCAATGAATCAAGATAGTCTAAATTCACTCCCATTTTGTTAGCCGATACTCTATGGTAGAAAATTTGAAGAATGAATAAAATAATAAGTTATTGGAATGGAATATATTAAATATTTTTCTAAATTGAATATTTAAAAGTTAACAGCAAAATTTCTAAATATTATTAGACATTTTAAAACGATTTTTTTTAATATAGTAATGTTTTGTTTTTCAAAAGAAAGCATTGTTTAGCATTTATACATTAATTTATTTTACACCTAATGATGGCAAGTTCAGCCACGTGTATCTCTTATGATGTGGTGAAATATGATCAGCCACGTGTATCCCTTCTGTTGTGGTGAAATATGATAAGCCACGTGTATCCCTTCTGATGTGGTGAAATATGATCAGCCATATGTATCCCTTCTGATGTGGTGAAACATGATAAGCCATATGTATTCTGACATCAGAAGGGATACATGTGGCTGATCATATTTCACTACATCAGACAGAATACATATGGCTGATCATATTTCACCACATCAGAAGGGATACATGTGGCTGATCATATTTCACTACATCAGAGGTGAAATATGATCAGCCATGATGTATCCCTTCTGATGTGGTGAAATATGATCAGCCACATGTATCCCTTCTGATGTGGTGAAATTTGGGTACCTGATCACCATCTCCTCTCACCTCACTCTCATGTGAGTCTGAAGCTCCTGGAGCAATCGATCCATCTTGTTGCGTGATGAGTTTTTCCCTAACCATGATGGAAAGCTGATCATCTGGGTCAGGAAACCTTTCATTAAATCTCCAGGGATTACCGAGGCAAAGATAGCCTGAAATAATAAAATCAATTTTATCTAAGAATACATTATATGATGAAAATTGGGACTTTGATAAAAGAAAATGTCATATGTTCTAACGTGTGCTTAGTTTTTATTTTTACTTCAATATGCACTTGAGAAAATAAATAATCTTTTTTACACATATCTAAAAATCTATGAAAGCTTAAAGTTTAAGAGTGAAGGAAATAGTCAAAGTTATGTGATTTTTCAGTTAGATAATGGACACTAATACTGAAATAACAATGTATTCCAAACAGGTCTGACCAATGTGGTAAATGGACAATAATTGGGACTGACTTATATTGATTGATCCTTAGTTACTGACTTATATTGATTGATCCCTAGTTACTGACTTATATTGATTGATCCCTAGTTACTGACTTATACTGACTAACAATGTAAACCAAACATATATGATGTCTGATAACTGTATACAATGGACACTAACACTGAAATAACAATGTAGTCAAAACATATATGATGTCTGATAACTGTATACAATGGACACTAACACTGAAATAACAATGTAAATCAACCATATATGATGTCTGATAACTGTATACAATGGACACTAACACTGAAATAACAATGTAGTCAAAACATATATGGTGTCTGATAACTGTATACAATGGACACTAACACTGACATAACAATGTAAACCAAACATATATGGTGTCTGATAACTGTATACAATGGACACTAACACTGAAATAACAATGTACACCAACCATACCTCCACTGGAAGTAAACTCCAGTTTCCTTCTCTCCGAATCAGTTTTTCAATAAGGTCTCCATCACAGAGACTGTTTGCTGTCTCACTCACTAAGTGGAGATGTTTCTTGATATCTCCTCTGAAAACACATAATTAAGACTTGAAACTGATGAACTGTATCTCAATAACTAGTGTATGAGAGTCATGTTGATACTGAAACACAAACGTAATCTATTATATACATAAAAAACATATTCAAGTTACCAATTTGACTGTCACAGTCAGTGGTTAGGATACCAACTGGAATTTTACAGTCAGTGTGGGGCTTAAAATTAGCAGGGCCTGGGAGCCAATGGCCCCCCAAAAAGTGTCTGATAGGTAGCCTGCGTGACCCCTTAAAATCAAAAGAGCCATTCAAAGTTGGACTCCACATAAATTTATCTAAACATTTCTTAACGAAGCAGAACTTATGACAAACCATGAGTGGACCTTCCCAAATTTTCAAAACCAGGTAAACAGGGGCAGTGGTTTGAAAACGTTCAGGTCTAGAAGGAACCTGAAACGTAACCAGGGACAGTGGTTTGAAAACGTTCAGGTCTAGAGGGGACCTGAAAGGTAACCAGGGGCAGTGGTTTGAAAACGTTCAGGTCTAGAGGGGACCTGAAAGGTAACCAGGGGCAGTGGTTTGAAAACGTTCAGGTCTAGAAGGGACCTGAAAGTTAACCAGGGGCAGTGGTTTGAAAACATTCAGGTCTAGAGGGGACCTGAAAGGTAACCAGGGGCAGTCACAAACTATAATTTTTTACTCACCACACTCATGAAAACAACTAACAAGGCTGCACAGAAATGAAGTTTTAAGATTTTTAATCCTTTGATGGAATAATGTGGAGCTAAAAGTTGTTGAAGCATGAGAGACTGATTCACAAGCATGGTTAGTGAACAAGGTAAACAAGGAGAGTTGACACTTCTTAATAAATGTCGGGGATAAACTGAGACAGTGGGGAGCTGGAGACAGGAAAGAAAGATAAACTGAAACTGAAGAAGGATGCTTGCTGTATATGAAGGCTTGAGTATCAAAGGTGGCTGTTGACATTGATGAAGCAGGTGAGAAGATTGAAGGAACCAAGGATATCCAGCTCAAAGTTGACACCAGTTGTATAAACAAGAGTGATAGTTAGGGTCTGAAGTGATTGAATAATTAATTCTTGATAGGAGACGAATACATCTAAAACTAGCAAAGATAGTAATGTGTAAATGGGCTTCAATATACTAAAATTGATGACAAAAAATTAGATAGCTTTGGTTAAATTAATAAATAAAAATGTAATTTGAATATAGAATATGAAGTTGAGCAGTCCTTCTCAGGTCGGTATCTTAAGATCCAATGAAAATAATTTTGGTGGGGGGGGGGGGGATGTGTAGAATATGAAGTTGAGCATTCCTTCTCAGGTCGGTATCTTAAGATCCAATGAAAATAATTTTGGTGGGGGGGGGGGATGTGTAGAATATGAAGTTGAGCATTCCTTCTCAG